GTGTGAGAGAGAGAGTGTTTGTGTCTGGATGAGTGTTAGAGAGAGAGTGTTTGTGTCTGGATGAGTGTGTGAGAGAGAGAGTGTTTGTGTCTGGATGAGTGTGTGAGAGAGAGAGTGTTTGTGTCTGGATGAGTGTGTTTGTGTGTGAGAGAGAGTTTGTGTCTGGATGAGTGTGTGTGAGAGAGAGTGTGTTTGTGTCTGGATGAGTGTGTGAGAGAGAGAGTGTTTGTGTCTGGATGAGTGTGTGAGAGAGAGAGTGTTTGTGTCTGGATGAGTGTGTGAGAGAGAGAGTGTTTGTGTCTGGATGAGTGTGTTTGTGTGTGAGAGAGAGTTTGTGTCTGGATGAGTGTGTGTGAGAGAGAGTGTGTTTGTGTCTGGATGAGTGTGTGTGAGAGAGAGTGTGTTTGTGTCTGGATGAGTGTGTTTGTGTGTTAGAGAGAGAGAGTGTGTTTGTGTCTGGATGAGTGTGTTTGTGTGTTAGAGAGAGAGAGTGTGTTTGTTTGTGTGTGAGAGAGAGGGAGTGTGTTTGTGTGTGAGAGAGAGGGAGTGTGTTTGTGTGTGTGTGTGAGAGAGGGAGTTTGTGTGTGTGTGTGTGTGTGTGATGGGTAGGTTTAGGGGTGGGGTTAGTGTGTGTGTGTGTGTGTACTGATGTCATACTGTCACTAGGTGGCGACACTGAAATAGATTTGATCTTCCTACACCTGGAATCATCAGGCTTTTTAAAAAAGCGAGAAGTAATAGCATGCAGAAATTCCTATAGTAAATAGTCTTTGTTTAGTTTCGCTCTCACATATTTAATCAGCAGACATTTGTTTTCTACGACGATTTTCCCAATACCTTATACCTTGTTTTGAGTGATTTCATGATATCCTTTAATAAAAGTGATGGTGTATCATTCAGTATTGTTATTACTACGCAATACCTCCAGTATTTTACCATAGTAAAGCCACCGTGATGTTTAAAAAACAGTTTCTGAATGCTGAAGTGTCTCACATCAGTTGTGAAGCGTGCGTGTGTGTGTGTGTGTGTGTGTGTGTGTGTGTGTGTGTGTCGCTCCAGGCTTTTTGCTGGATCTGTGTTCCCGCAGGTTGAAGGATGAAGAAAGTGTCTGTAATTTTTCATGGAATGATCAGAGGGATTCCTGGCCTTCTGTCGTCTCCTGTGGACATGAAACAGGTAAATATGCAGATGATAAGATTCCAGCGTGCAGGAATGTGTGTGTGGGTGTGTGTGTGTGTGTGTGTGTGTTCGCTGTATCTTCACGCCTGAATGAACGTCAGGAGATTCCAGATTCTAAAGTTTTACCATTTTCAGGAGCAGAAACTCTTTCTTACACACTACCAGTCAAAAGTTTTGGGTTTTTAATTTTTAATGTAAAGAAGCCTCTTCTGCTCACCGAGGCTGCATTTATTTGATTAAAAATACACAAAAAACAGTAATATTGTTAAATTCTATGACAATTTAAAATAATTGTTTTCTATGTGAATATATAGTAAAGTGTAATTTATATCCTGTGATCAAAGCTGTATTTTGAAAACAGTTATTTACATGTCTTTCTTTCATGTGGATCATGTGACACTGAAGACTGTAGTAATGATGCTGAAAATTCAGCTTTGATCACAGGAATAAATTACACTTTACTGTATATTCACATAAAAAACAGCTGATTTACACTGTAATAATATTTCACTTTTTTTGTATTTTTATTCAAATAATAATTCGATACAGACACATATAAAGAGCTTTATGCTTTTTTTCTATGCTTTTCCTCTTCAGCTCTTGAGGTCATAATATTTCACAATTTTTTTGTATTTTTAATCAAATAAATGCAGCTTTGGTGAGCAGACGAGACTTTTTTTTAAAAAAACATTGAACATTTTACAGATTCAAAACTTTTGACTGGTACTGTATATATTCTTAGGGAAGTTTAGAGCAGAACCATATGGTGAAAAGTTGTGAGATTTGGCACAGAGACAGAAGACGGTCTGAACATTCACTACAGACACGTTTAACTCATTCCCTCTAGCGCCACCAACTGTCCAGAGTTGCATTCACATTTAAGCCAATAACCTTTGAACCATAAAGGCTAGAAACAACATCCTCACATCTATTCAATTTAATCCAATTCAAATTTATTTGTATAGCACTTTTCACAATACAGATCTTGTGGAAGACAGACCTATCTA